TCCTGGGCCACAGCAGAGAGCTGGACTGGAAGAGGAGCAACCGGGACAGAATCCAGCGCCCCAACCAGGACTGGAACCTGGGTTGCCAGCGCCGCAGGCGGAGGATTAGCCAAGTGAGCCACAGTGCCGGCCAACTATATACCTTTTTAAAAGCCAAGATAGGAGCGGATATTTGGCATGTTAGTCAAGGCACATCTTGGGATACCTGCATGCGTATCAGAGTGCCTGGATTGGAGTCTCAGCTATGCTCCCAATTCCAACTTCCTTGAAGAGAGCAGATAATGGCTCAAGTAGTTGAACCTCTGCCACCCAGATGGAAAACCTAGACTAGATTTCCAGCTTCTAGTTTTGGTCTGAACTAGCTCTAGCCATTGTGGCATTTAAGGGGTGTAACAATGAATTGGAAGTACTCTCTCTCTCTCTGCCAAATAATTAAATAAATGAAAACAAGAGTGAATTAATAATTTGGGAATATTGGGAATAGCCCCAAGTGTCTACTACCCAAGAAGAGCATTTATTTGATATGTAGTTTAGTGGTATTGGTCATAGATTTGGGCATTAGACCAACCAGGTGCAGGTGAACATGCAAGTCTCAGGTCAATCATTTTATATTATGACTGAGGGAAAGAAGTAAACCTCTCTGAACATCAGCTTACTCCTTTATTATGTGAAGGTGATGGGAGAATTTCTAAAACAAAAATTAAGAAAATAATGTTCAATGCTTCTTACATAAGTCATTGTGCCGGTGTGCTAAGTGCTTCACATATTTAACTTATTTAACTTCTAAAAGGTATTTTGCCAAAGAAGATACTGAATAAAATGGTCAAGGTCCAACAAATGGCAAATGCTAGACCTGGTATTTTACTTCAATTAATGCCATTTTAATATTTTACATGTTTAAAGTAAATACTCTTCAATTAACGTGGGGCGCTGCTCTGGTATTTTGATTTGGGCTTCAGGTTCACACTGCTGCACTCCCTCTCTAAATTCTTACAGCAGATATTCCTATCTTGATTCAAGAGGTCAAGACTTGAATGATAATTTGGAGTCAGATTGTAACTCTAGCAGCATAAAAATCAAAGAAGGGATAAGGTGGACAGGAGGAGAAGGTACTGGTAGGTAAGTGAGAAGGAGTGATAGACAGCCATGAGAACTCAGTAAGTTATAGAGAAAGATATCACAGCACAGGAGAGAGGATTTGGAGTGGGGAGACATCAGATTCCTAGAGAGATGTGGCTAAGTATATTACCTGTTAAAAATTACTTTGACCTGTACATTTTAGCTGTTAAAATGTCCTTCAATCAAGAAAAGAAAGGTTCATCCCAAAGAAAGTCAAAGCAGCAGCTTCTGCTCGCTGTTCAAAATTAATTTGAAACACACACACACACACACACTCACACACACACATAACACCTCCACACAAACACCAAGAAGACTGGTCAGAGTAGATCTTTTACATTGTCCATCACCTGAGTCAGGTAGGAGGCAATGAGAGATGATATGTATTTTCTGGATTCTGACTACAGTAAAATGAAAGCATAAAGTAGATGCAGAGGGCAGTAGGAATCAAATTTGCAGCTATAATTTGTTCTATTGTATACAATATTGAGTTCTCAATATGTCTTTAGCTAAGTGCTAAATACATTATACATAAGGGTACTCCAAAAAGTTCATGAAAAAATAGTTTAAAGATATGCTTATTTTACTGTAAAACTATTTGAAATCCATGTGTAATTTTTCGTAATACAAATTTTTCATGAATCTGTTAGTGAACCCTTATATGCTACCATATTTAATCCTCACAATAACCTTGTGAGTTAGGTGTTATTATCAGCCCCACTTTATATGAAAACCTAAAAATCAGAGACTCCAGTCATAGTATGTCTTCAGTTAAAGAATATATTGAGGTAGGCAAAAAAAAGAGATGTATACTGGAATCAGGATCAAAGACTGAAGTAAGAATCCCAGTTAGGTCATATCTTGGGTTTGGAAGCTTTGCAATATTATTGAAGTGTTCTAAATGTCTCCCATTTCTATTCATTTTTCTTCATCTCCATGGCTAAAACTTTAAATTAAAGCCACTGTTACATGTTGCAATATTCTCATATCTGATCAACCCACACCAGCACAATTTACTTTGCCTGCCTGTAATCTATTCTGCAAACTGCACCCAGAGTGATCATAGAGAGATAAGTGTCAAAGATGACTTTAAATGTGTTGCTTGCTCAACTGAATAGAAAGGAATGCTATTACCGGAGGTAAGGGTCAGTGTAGTTTTGAGGGATGGGGGTATCTGGGTCTTAGTCACAGTGAGGTTGAAATATGATGGTATCTATATCAACATAGTATTCTACTCTCTCTACTTAGGTCCATTTTATTGGGTTGTGACTTACTTAAATAAGAAAATACAGATGGAATGATACATAGTGCAATGACTAAGACAATTTTCATTCTCTTGACCTACACCGAGTTGTGGGAAATTTGTAACAAATGCATTTAGAGTGCTTGAAGCTCTTTAGAAAAGAAGAGCCTTGAAAATATCAATTAAGATAAACAAAAAAGTGGACAGATTCTTGCTCTCCTTGGATCTGTTTTCTCTTCTTCAGCTTGCATTAAAAGGATGCTCCTTTTTCAATCAATTTATTTCCACAGGCACAAAACCTATTGCTTGATTCAGGACATGTAAGGTGCTAATTCCCAGGAGTATTCCAGAAATAAACCAATATGTTCTCTTTTAAAGAAGAATGAAGGGCCCAGGACTACTGAAAAGGATAAGAATTGGGGTCCAAGTAGAAATTCACAAGGCCAATCACAGAAATCTGCATTGTCACAAGAGAATTTCTAGAGAACAAAAGCCTATTGTTTTAAAATGAACCAGAGAGTGCTATCAATATTAATATTAGTATTAATTATGTCTTTGTTATCCTCAGCAGATTTAGATGGATCAATCTGGCACCAAACTTTCTCTATGTTATACTAGATAAGTATTGTGTTTTCTAGACTCTGTATTCTCTACTAAATTAAATTAATAAAGCAAAAGCATATTTAATGAGTGCCTACTTTTGATCAAACTAGTCCAGACTATTACAAGCATATCCTCATCAATACTCAGAGTAAAACTGCTACTTGGGCACAGTCAGTCCATTTCACAGATACAGAAAGTGAACATCTGAAAGTTAAAGTCATTCTTTCAGAGCTGGTTAGCTAGTAAGTGGGGATGGTTTGATTCAGACTCACATCCATTTATCTAATAAATTGGGTTCAACTATCTGTTTTATCTTAACACATTTCACATACTCAATTATATATAACCAACAGGAATTTATCACATCCATGTGTAAACTGTCTTCCTGAAATATTCCTTTCTATTAGATGGATAACATGAAACACGGGAATGGTAAATGTTATGTGGAATCACATGGCTGTGTGAGTTATACTTAAAACTCAGTCACTTTACCTGATTTAGATCATTTCTCCAGACTGTACCCTTTCTCCCTGCACAGCTGCAGACTGACAGATTTGGGGAGTTACCATTCAACAGATATCCTCTCTTTGGTTTCCAATTCCCATTTCTTCCCTAATGACAGGAGGAATTCCACAGGAAGTGGCAATTTCTTCAAGTTCTGAGATCACAGCATGCAGCTAATTATAGAAATAAATAACTAGTGACTCGAACCATCTGTCTTTCCTTTGGCAAATGCCTTTCTCTCATGTGAAATTAGTGCCACCTGCAACCTCTAGGTCCCTCAGAGATGTGGGATTGCCCCTTATGCATTCAGAGGTCGACTGCTTTGTCACTCCCAAACCATGGTCACAACCCTACTGACAGACACTCATTTCCAGAGAGACACAACTAATTAAGCCAGGGATGTTCCTGAACTCTTCCCACAGTGAAAGGTAAAGGAAAGGAAAGGCAAAAGTTGTGTCTCAGTCCCTGGCGGTGCACTTCTGGGCACAGGGTGTGAAGTGAGGTCACTCTAAAATCTCCCTTGGTCCAGGGACACAGGTGCTGTCTCTCACACTATTCATTTTCCATGGCAGAGACACTTAAATCCATTCTTATAGCAATCTGTACTTCTAAAATAATGTCAGAAAACCTGTGTCTTTGCCTGTTCAGTTGGAAGACAACAATTCTAGTTCAACTCATATCCTTCTAATTGTGTGATCTTGGATAAATTACTGCACTACTTTATCTGCGAATTGGAGGAAAATAATAGGACCAAGCTATCAGAGTTGTTAGAATTACATGAGATACACATACGAGAATTACTAGTACAGTGGAGTAGAGGATACTATAGTACAGCATCATATAATATATAGGAAACAGCATCCTGTGGTTTCTGTTTGTCAGAAGTGAAAGCTCTATTTATAATAGAATGTAGGGGCTATTGATCTGGGTTTCGATGACACTAAGGAATCTACAAATGCCCTGAATATATATGAAAAATTATATATGTGTGCATGTGATTTTCAAGGGCAGAAATGATTCATAACTTTAATCAGAATCTTGATGGTGCTTTCCGACCTCTTCTCACTCTTCCAATTTAGGGATTGGAGAGTTGGAGGATATTTCCCAGGTTTTTCAATTAGGTTTTCTCCTGCTGTGGAAACAGCGTGCTTAAAGCTACTCTGTATCTTAGAGACCAAGAAGCAGGAGTTGGAAGCTGGTTTAATCCTCTCCCTCCTGATTCACATCTCCACAGAGCTGAAAGTAGGTCCCTTAGCATGTCTCTATCTGCTATTTCCCTAGTATTTCATTCCACATTGGTGCTTCATTAATTTTATCCAGACTTGCCCTGTGTGACTTGTCTAGTGTTAGGAACAATATTGTCTGTGAACCCTCTGACATCTATTATTGCATGAACACTACAGACATCTATTATTACCTGAACACAATTTCAGTTATTGTTTCTTTGGCAAAGAGCAGGAACCTGAGTAAATAATTCTACCAGTTATAGCAATACAACATCTAGCAGTTTATAGAATGATCTCACACTCACTTTTGGATTTCTTCACAATGTACTTAAGACAAAGAAAAACTTCACTCCCACTTTGTAGATAACATAACTGAGGCTCAGGAAAGAGAATTGAAACTTTAGCCTTAAATTGTCTTCTTTAACAGCACTCTCACACCATCCAAGAACAACAGGTATATAAAACACCCACTTTCATTTTCTGTTCTTTTGAAGACAAGAGAATTCAGTAAATAACTCCAAGTGTCTTGATACTTGATTCCTCTTTCTTAATTGTCTTTAGTATTGCTTCTATCAAACAATTAGTCTAACTTTGACACTGTGGTTATCTTTAAACTGACTCCATCATCTTACACCAATAAATAATTGTTGCTATGCTTTTATCTTAGCAAACTGCTACTGATCAGTGACCATAAAGTATCAAGATAAATACATATATGCATAGATACGTAAAAAGATAGATATAAAGATAAGACTAAGTTTGTGGAAAATGAAAACGTAAGTTTATTTTAGTGAAAAATATTCTTAAATTCATGCACTGTTATTTCATAATATGAACACACGTTTTTATGTATTTTTGAAAGACTTCTCATGAAGTCTATAAAACTACCAAGAATTTGTACAAATTATATTACAGTGTTCTTTATTTGACATTCAGAACTCTGGGGATCTGCAAATCAGCATCATGAGGCCAATACACACTCCTGTGACCCAAACATTTGGGAACAACTACCTGGTATGCTATTCATTGGTACAAGCAGAACTCTCTTGGAGGACTGCATGGTGAGAAATTTTATAGAGGGACTAAAATGGGCTAATAATGATGTAATGATGGAGAAGCAATATGTGAAAACTCTCCTTGTATCATTAGATACACATAGAGTTAGAGCTATGTGTATCAATTCTGAGAATAGAAACTACATATATATATGCATATATGTGTATAGATAGATAGATATGTGTGTGCATTATTTTCATATTACCAGGATATAGGGATCATATTACCACAAAAGGCAGTAGAAGAATCCTTTCATCTCTCCAGTGCTCAATTCACCCATTCATCCATTAATTCGTCTAATATTTATTGAGCATTGTTCATATAGCACTTTTGTTTTAAGTCTTCAAAACAGGCTGAAGGAAAAGAAATGTGAGAAAATCAATAAACACCATATGATAGCAAGCACTGCGAAAGAGGCATAGAGTGGTGGTTAACAAAAAGACACAAAAATCAAGCTGGAGACTGTGGGAAAAGCCTTGAAAGGAAAGTATTGCTTGAGACAAGTCTTAGGGGATGTGTTGATGTTGAACATTATAGACTGAAGAAATGCATAGAAAACAGAAATTCTAGACAAAGAAAATAGCCTATGTAGAGGCAATAGAGATTTGAAAAATCATTACTCTTAAGCATCTTTGATATAGCCCCAACCTACCCATAATGACAACACTCTGTTTCATCCCCATGCTAACATTAGCAACTTTACCTTCAGTGGTATCTACCCGGCTATTTCACAGGTTAAAAACCTGTGTCTTTATAGAATGCCATTCTTACAAACTATATAAACTATCAAGATCATTCTGCACATTTAAAAATACTCAGATGCTTCACAAAAAGCATCACCATGGGGTTCAACACAGGGTGTGCTCTTGATGCCATGAACATGTAACACACTGTATAAGAGGATAGCTACTTTCATTTCTACAGAAGCAGATGAGTTAAGACAGGACCACCTGCTTTGAACATGTTTTTAAGTTGCATTTATGAGACATAGAAATCCCATAAATAACTATTTTTCGGTTCTCCCTATAGCTTCTTGCTTAATCAGAATCAATCTGACCCATTCTGTGTGTGTGTGTGTATGTGTGTGTGTTTAACTGAAAATCATTGATCTTCTATACTATATCCTCTATTTTTCTCAAATTCTCTTGTTCAGCTGCCCAAAAGCTCAGAAGGTGCTCTGATAAGGGAAAGTCTTTTCCTTCTTGCTAGATTTTGATGCTCTTACTCCCAGGCTCAGTATAGAGAAATGGGGCCTCTAATCAATTTGATAATCATTATGAATTCCCTGCATTTGAGTTTTTCTTTGGAAATTCAAAATAAAAGTTCAGGATTTTAGAGCGTTAATTAGACCTATCACTTTAGAAAATGCCACATAATTTGTTCACTCCCACAGCAAATCTCGCTTCTGGGAAGGAGGGCAAATATTTAAGAATGAAATGAGACTGACGCTCACATGAATTAAAAAACAACCCGTTTAAATCTTTAAAATGATCTCCCTGGTTCTTGCTCATTAGTCTGTATGGCAGAGTCCCATGGCAAAATCTTGAGCAATTCCTGAATCTCAAAGATCGTTCCTTTCCCCGTTCTTCATTATTAATGCTAATTTAAATGAACCTTGATGGAAATGATTACTAGTGTTCCTGTCAAACCAACTCCAGGCCTGGGAATTGTAAGCATGAAACACACTGGAGTGTAATTTATGGTTATTTCCCCTGTTTGCCAGAGCAAAAGGGGGAAACTCAACTTTCTTTCAGCAAGAAACAATGAGTGCAAAGAGGGCACTTTGGAAAACGGCAAATAAAAAACAAAAAGGAAGAGCCTCTCGGCCAGAGTGATAATCAGAGATTTAAAACTCATTTTTGACAACATGGACAGCCTTGCAGAAGGCCATTCTTTTTTAGATGAAGTTACTTGGTAAACTCATAAAGTAGGACAAAAAATAAAGCGTCAGGCAATGCAGGAAAAAGAAATAAGTTTTTTTCACAATCTTGTTTCCAGACCATGGCGGAAGTAGTCTATCTCAGACTTTAACCCAGGATTTCACATGGCTTCAATAGCATCCATCTGGCACAATGACCAGGAATTCAACAGTGGAAATTATGTCATTGTCTAAATTATTTCAGGTCTGTCTGCCGTGTGGTTTGAAATCCCATATTCTGTTTTAATGTAAAAACAACAAAGTATTATATTCATAATAATAGCAACAACTATAAAACAGTCTAATAAGAAGAAATTTACTTCTATATTATACAGTAATTTCATAATAGTGCATATTATAGTGCATTACTATAATATTATAGTATATTAAGTTATCATATTTAATAAAAATTACATTAACTAAATGGTGTATTCTAAGGATCAGCACGAGCTAAGAGGTTTTTACATTTCATAGGATTGTAGGTAAAAAAGATCATGTCACAGAGACTCTGTGTTCCACAATACCTGAAGTATTTGCCTTGCAGCCCTTTACAGAAAATGTTTGACCAATCCTAGTCTCTATTAATATTCACATAGCAATTGCACAATACCAGGGTAATGCATAAATGAAGAATGTTTCTGATTTCTGTTACTGGCTTCTGGGATGGAGCCTGACCTGTAATGCCTTGTAACACATTCACAGTGGTTTCTTTAGACCATGCTTGAATTTGAGCTAACGGGCATGGTAGTGCAAGGGAGCTTTAGAATGGGGGCTGGCCATGTCACAAAGGCCAATCCAGGGATGATTGCTTAGAGCTCACCCTGTGTATTTCTTCATTTGGCTGGTCCTGACTTCTATATGTATCATTTATGAGAAACCTGTAATCACACACACAGTATCCTCAGTTCTTTGAGTTGTTCTATGCAATTATTGAGGTTGAAGATATAGTGGAAATTTGAATTTATAAACTTATCAGAAGTAAAGTAGCCTGGGAATTCCAGGCATATAGCTGGTGTCAGTAGTAAGGGCATTCTTAGAACTGTACCTTTGTGATGTCTGAGTTACATGTTAACTTTTGGTAATTAGGGTCAGAATTGCACTGCATAGGTGTTAAGCATTTATTTCTCTTAAAATGTAGTGGATATTAATTCTCAAATACTTGATGAGGTGGGTGCCATATCCATATGTACCTATAAAAAAAGTGAGGGTCGAAATAATTGAGACTTATACCCAAGCCAGCCAGCATTCAAACCCAGATATTCTGATTTCAGAGGTAGGTTAAGTTTTTACCCATCATGAAGCTAAACTGTGATCCTGTAATATTTAACCCAAGGGGAAAATAAGTGGTTGTAGAACTCTAGGTGGATAATCTAAGAATCAGAAATCAGTCTTTCACTGTACTGTTTACCTTGGCCTTGAAGCATAGTGTTGATCTTGAGAATTAGTATGACTTCTTAGACCTTCTTTCCTTTATGATCCAGTTATTTTATTTTTCTTTTTTTGACAGGCAGAGTTAGACAGTGAGAGAGAGAGAGACAGAGAGAAAGGTCTTCCTTCTGTTGGTTCACCCCCCAAATGGCTGCTACGGCCGGCGCTGCGCTGATCTGAAGCCAGGAGCCAGGTGCTTCTTCCTGGTCTCCCATGTGGGTGCAGGGCCCAAGCACTTGGGCCATCCTCCACTGCCTTCCCGAGCCACATCAGAGAGCTGGCCTGGAAGAGGAGCAACCGGGACAGAATCCGGTGCCTCAACAGGGACTCAAACCCAGGATACCGGCGCCTCAGGTGGAGGATTAGCCTAGCTCTGAGCCGTGGCGCCGGCCTATGATCCAGTTTTGCAACTCAGCCCTTCATTTGTTCAGTGTGTCCAAAACATGAAGGCAGAGTTGCTTTTTTAGGTTCAAATCATGGCTCTGCCACACCTTTGCATCAGAGTTGATATCGATGGTCCCAAGACTGCTTTCTGATGTAAAATATGGAAAAGTGTATTAGTAAAAGAATAAAAGTACAATATAGTCTTCTTTTGGGGAAAAAGTGGATTTTAAACTTTTCTGCCTTGAAGAACTGAAATATTTACTTCAGCAGTATCTGCAAGAGATCTTTCAAAAGTTCTTAGGGTTTTTTTTTTAACTTTTATTTAATGAATATAAATTTCCATAGTACGGCTTATGGATTACAATGGCTTCCCCCCCATAACGTCCCTCCCACCCGCAACCCTCCCCTTTCCCATTCCCTCTCCCCTTCCATTCACATGACGATTCATTTTCAATTCTCTTTATATACAGAAGATCAGTTTAGCATACATTAAGTAAAGATTACAACAGTTTGCTCCCACACAGAAACATAAAGTGAAAAATAGTAGATGATTTTTTAAATGATGATGAAATCAGATCAGACCTATTGTCATGTTTAATCCCACCAAGAGTCAAGTTGGGAATTGCTAATTTCTTCTTTTTTTTTTTTTAACAGAAGATCAGTTTAGTATACATTAAGTAAAGATTTCAACAGTTTGCACCCCCATAGAAACACAAAGTGAAATATATTGTTTGAGTATTCATTATAGCATTAAGCCTCAATGTACAGCACATTAAGGACAGAGATCCTACATGAGGAGTAAGTGCACAGTGACCTCTGTTGTTGACTTAACAAATTGATACTCTTGTTTATGCCATCAGTGATCACCCTATGCACCAGTCATGAGTTTCCAAGGCTATGGAAGCCCCTTGAGTTCTCCGACTCTTATCTTGTTTAGACAAGGTCATAGTCAAAGTGGAGGTTCTCTCCTCCCTTCAGAGAAAGGTACCTCCTTCTTTGAAGACCTGTTCTTTCCACTGGGATCTCACTCACAGAGATCTTTTGCCAGAGTGTCTTGGCTTTCCATGCCTGAAATACTCTCATGGGTTCTTCATCCAGATCTGAGTGCCTTTAGGGCTGATTCTGAGGCCAGAGTGCTGTTTAGGACATCTGCCATTCTATGAGTCTGCTGAGTATCTCGCTTCCCATGTTGGATCATTCTCCCCTTTATTTATTCTATCGGTTAGTATTAGCAGGTACTAGACTTGTTTATGTGCTCCCTTTGACTCTTAGTCCTTTCATTATGATCAATTGTGAACTGAAATTGATCACTTGGACTAGTGAGATGGCATTGGTACATGCCACCTTGATGGGATTAAATTGGAGTCCCCTGGTATGTTTCTAACTCTACAATTTGGGGCAAGTCAGCTTGAGCATGTCCCAAATTGTACATCTCTTCCCTCTCTTATCCCCACTCTTATGTTTAACAGGGATCACATTTCAGTTAAATGCCATAATTAGGATGCTCAGGTCCTATACCAGAGTGCCTGGGTTTGACTACAGGCTCCAGCCTATGATTGCATCTTCCAAGTAAGTAGACCTGGGGAAGCAACAGTGATTGGACTCCTACCATCTTTGTGGGAAGCCCAGGTTGAGTTCCCATCTCTTGGCTTTGACCTCCCTGGCCATTGCCAGAATTTGAAAAATGAATCCGCAGATAGGAGCTCTTGTGTTCTCTCACTCTCCTAGGCCTTTACCTCCCCATATCCTCTTTTCCTGTTCCCCTCTCCACCTCCATGTCCATGTCTATCTCTAGGGCAAGGCATTTTCCCCTAATGTTTAATATCCCCAGATCCCATATCAGAGTATATGGATTTCGTAAACTGCTACAGCTCGCTGACAATGCAGCTCCTGAGGCAGTAAGCAATGGATCAAGAGTTTGTTTCGCTCCACCTAAATAGGAGACTTGTACTGAGTTCCCAGATTCTGACTTTGGCACTGGCCAAGCCTAGGCCATTCATTGTGAGCATTTAAAAAGTGAACCAGGGTGGCGGGCACCGTGGCTCAATAGGCTAATCCTCCGCCTTGCGGCGCCGGCACACCGGGTTCTAGTCCCGGTCAGGGCGCCGGATTCTGTCCTGGTTGCCCCTCTTCCAGGCCAGCTCTCTGCTGTGGCCAGGGAGTGCAGTGGAGGATGGCCCAAGTGCTTGGGCCCTGCACCCCATGGGAGACCAGGAGAAGCACCTGGCTCCTGCCTTCGGATCAGTGCGGTGCACCGGCTTCAGCGGGCTGGCCGCGGAGGCCATTGGAAGGTGAACCAACGGCAAAAGGAAGACCTTTCTCTCTGTCTCTCTCTCACTGTCCATATCGGGGGGGGGGAGCCATTGTAATCCATTGACTGTAATTTGAAAATTTATATTTACCAAATAAAAGATAAAAAAAAGTAAACCAGTGGATGAGGACTCCCTTTGAGCCTCAAATAAACAAAGAGATAAGTTTATAAAATAAAATTATGTAGAAAATACACTTAATGAAAAAAATACACATAGATTTTCATTTTCTATTTTTTTATTTTTTATTAATATTAAGAGAACAAATTTCATAGGTACAATTTTAAGAAGATGAACTTATTGGAGTGGGCAACTGGTGCAGAATTAAGACAGCACTTGGGATGTCTGCATCCCATATCAGAGTGCTTAGGTCTGAGTGTTGGCTCCACTTCTAACTCCAGCCTTCTGCTAACGCACCCTGGCAGGCAGTGAGTGTGGAGGAAGACACATGCTGGGAACAGGCAAATTACAGAGAGGCCTGTGGATCTTTTGAGAGAGAAAATTCCCTTCTTTTCCTAAGCGAAGGAAGAATCAAGAGAGATCAACCAGATTGGGTTACACTCTGAAGTTGAACAGAGAAGTGAGATTCTTCCAAGAGGCTGTGACTCTTAATTAAACCTGCCCTTGCCAAGGCATGCTGTTAGCCTGTGAGCCCACTGGGAAGAAACGGATTGTGTCTGTCAACTGAGAGATGCTGCATTAACTCCAACTCCTCTTCCACTCTCACAGCCTTGCTGTGCATTCCTGTCTAACTCGAAACAACACAGAGGGAAGTGGATGTTCTCTTCTCCCTTCACAGCAAGGTGAGGGTTTGAAAGTATCAGAAGCTTATGAAATTAGAGTTTGCACTTAGTATTGTGAGGACAGCAAGCTCAGTAGATGTCTGCCTTGATTATAACAACTAGCTGTACTTCAGTGAGGACCCAAAACTTTACCTGACGCAATTCTGGGGCATGTGGGAGAAGTCCAGCGTTTTCATTTAATCTATATGATGTGTTTGGTTTTAACTCTGTTCTATTAGTTGGCACAAGCATAAATACCCAACCTTTAAAAAATATTTTACTCATCTCTTTCTTTGCCTTTTCTTTCTTTTCTAGAAAGTTCTCTGATGTATGCTTGCCACAATAGGCTTTTCAGGCTCTGATGATCTGTTCTGAGACTCAGTCTCTGTGCTTGGCTTTTACTACGGTGGTCAGACCTCCTGCTCGCTGCCTGCCTGCTTCCAACTCTACTGTGCCTTCAGTTCCTCTCCTTGCTATAATGAAGTAATACAAGGGTCTCCTGGAGGCAGATCTCAGATGGGTATTGCAAAAGCATCTCGGTGGTTTCTATGTCCCGCATTCTACTGTTCTACTGTTTTATTCCATTCTACCCAGCAGCTAAGCTACCTCATAAGTGAATCTGTTGCCCAGATCCAACGCCATGCAAAATCACCCACTGCTGGGGCCAGCACTGTGGCACAGCAGGCTAAGCTGCCATCTGCAATGCTGATATCCTATTTTGGAGTGTTAGTTTGAGTCTCGGCTGCTCCATTTAATATCCAATTCTCTGCTAATGTACTTGTGAAGGCAGAAGGTAATGGTCCAAGTACCTGGGTCCTTGTCACCCATGTTGGACACCTAGATACAGCTCTAGGCTCCTGGCTTCAGCCTGGACCAGCCCAGGG